TTTCCCAATGAGGAACTAATTGGAATAAAAGGAGCTGAGATGTAGAGCAGTTGCATGAGAGCAGTTTATATTTCAAGCTTAGAGAGGTACTGTGTTCTCTTTTCTGGAATCATATATTGACGTTTCTGTTACCGCTCTTGGTTCAATGCTGTTCTCATCATGGAACATTACTGCACAAATATGGTTCTCGTTATGTGGAAGATTGATTTTAAAGTATGGAATCGTTATTCTATTATGAAACTTTCAAAGTTGGATCTTTGCAGTGATTTATGCTAATCTTCAGAAATTGTTGCAATTATAGGAGAACTTTCCACAAAGAGAATTAATTAGATCAAAGATGTTTATATATATAAATCATTAATCTTCGCATTACAGGAAATAGTTAGCAACTATAGATAGTTCATTTAATTATGCTTGGCTCCATTTTGTTGAGTCATTGCAATTTATTTGGAAATTAATTTACAATTTCTTCCGTAATGTGATTTCAGCTTACTTAATATATCAAATATATATCAATATGTGCTAGTGAAAAATAAATAAAGGCTTATTAATGACTGCTGCATAGATTAACCCTTAGATGCTGTTCTCAGTAGACTCTGACGTCTGTTGCCCATTAGATGGGGGACACAAGAAGGCTGTGCTCTAACAACGGGACACAAAGTGCCAAATAACTTGTAGAATATATACACTAAATTGTGATTATCACTTGCTGGAGGGAAAGCAGACAACATAGCCTGGGCCTGACCTTTGCCTCGTAAGAGAACTACTAACAGAGGACAATAGGGTTTTTGGTTCTCATATGAGAAAAAGCAAGTTATGTGTTGCTTTCAGTCCTTACATGAATGGTAATGGAAACAGTAGTATCTCAAGTCACAAGACAGTGGAAGCTCTAGGTAATAATGACCAGATGGAGCGGTAAGTTTTAGGATCTAAGTTTTGCATAAGCAGGTTTGCAGGTTATCTAATTCATATGAAATGTTTTTACATTGTACAGTATAAAAATATATGAGAAAAGATTTCTTATTTGTAAATTGATCTAATCAAAGTAATTTTAAAATATATCATGTAGTTTTTTTTGCAGATTTTTTTATACCTTGATGGTATGTTAATATGTTTTTTTGTCCCTAATTTGTTCTTTGTCTGTGATCTCAGTTATTTTAAAAACTGCTGAATGTACATCCACTTTTAGTGTGTTTTTCAAATAGTTGTCACAGATTAAAATGAACAAGATTTTGGCATATTTCTCTTTAAATAATAAACTCTTGATTTTCAAACAGATTGAATTCTATAACCATGTTGACTTTTGACTGAGACTATCCAGTATTAACAGCATCTGTATAAAGTTTAGACTAAACCGGCCTTTTGGCATCTTTGATGGCAGAAAGTAAGCCAAAACTTTGATATCCAAATACACATCTGTGTTGCACAGTATTTCCACTTTTCTTTAATGTAGAGTGTTCTCTAGTGTTCTTAGTTTCTTAGTATGTTTCTTTACTGGAAAAAGGCGGAATTTGGTTATAGGGATTTCTCCATCATAGAAAGCTTAAGGAACTTCAGTAATGTCTTTCGGTACAAAGAGTTTAACTAGAAGTAGCAAATAAACTAATAAAATGTAAGTAATAGTTCTCATCTAATTGAATACATTGGACAAATGACAGAGATAACTAATAGTTTCTGCAGAAGATTTCTGCATGCAAACAGAAGTCAAATAATATTTATGTTGCTAGATTTTTTCTAGAATATCCATTTAGATATCCATTCTAGATCACTGTTACTCCCAATCAATTAATAAATAACTGCATTTTCTTGGGAAGATGTTATGTCATTTATAATAAATGAAACTTTTGTAAAGTTTTTTTTTGAAAAAGTATTTGCTTGCCAGAGAAAGCAAAATGACCTATTTGTATGCTCTGAGCAAGAAATATTGTTATTCCATCTTGTAATTTGGATAGTTTAGACCTGCATTAGATGGAATGTGATACATTTTAACAGTACAGTCATCTGAGAAGTTTGTAAGAATTTGGATTTAAAATCTGTTTGCTTTGCTTCTATTTACATCTCTAAAATAATGACATGAAATCAATAGCATTTTGTCCTCAGTATTTGTTATTAAACATACCAGTATGCGCAGGGAAATAAAGGAGACATTTGGAAATGGATAACCTTCGGTTAATTAAATCCATCTGGTGTCTGACTAATGACAGGAATATTGTATCCAGAGAATCACTTAAGCAAAAAACGTTGATAATTCACAAGAAGTTTTCTAATAAAATGCTCTTAGAGTGGGCAAAACCTCATATGTAACTAAAGTGAAGTCCAGTCTCAAACAGTAACTTAGGAAATCATAAAGTGCTCTGTCATGTCGAAATTTCCCAAAATAGCTTAAGAACTGGGTTTTTGTTCTTTGAGATGAAAAATCATAAATTGACTTTTATGGGATTCATTTAGTGAGTATATCCATGTAAAATCTAGGCTACAAGTGTTCATTAGAAAATAAACTATATAAGATATTTAACAATATCCATTCCAGAAACACTGGTATAAAATCTGAAGTAAGAAAGACTTGTGATCCATATCATCTGGCAGTCTTATCCTGTGTAGATGAATGTCTCAAGATTCTCATACTTACTGTGTTTCAAAACAGCAAGAGTGACAGTTGTTTTCTATTCACACCTCCTTAAATAATCTTAAAAAAACCCAGCAACTACAAAAAACAATTAGAACCTCAGTGTGTTATAACTTGTATTGATCAACTATGCCATTTGGAATTGTTCTATTGATAGTTTTGTAACTTTAACTCACTCGTTTGTAACTTACTAACCTGTATTTACTGCCGAAAAAATAATGTCACAGATTGTTATTATTGAGTGAATACTTGATGAGTTTGCATTTGATATTCCATATGGTTGAACAGAACATGGTTTGGGAGTGGAGGAAGAAACTTGTAAAGCTTGTGCACCTTGGGTGCCTTTAAAGCAAGGCAGCCAAAATAGCATGAGATGAAGAATAGATATTACATGTTTTGTGGCAGATGGGCAAAGAAAAGCTATGAGATTGTAACATTATACTGCAGTTTCGTTTTAAAGCATACAGAAAAAGGTGACGATATAATTGAACGTCGAGGTTCACTGCGGGGGAACCCAACGTGGAGAATGGCCTACTGATATTGGGGAAACTCTTTTAGGCTTCTGTTGTAGGGGATAGAAAGAAATAGCACGAGGATGTGCTTTATCTTAGCTTAAAGCAGACACGCAAAATAGGTCAGATGAGTCACTCTGAAATGTCTGTTTTTCCACTGAGCATGTCATGAGTTTAAAGTGACCATCTCAGATATAAGGGTCTGAAGTTTTGTTAGAGAAGTGCCTTGCTGACTGTAACATTTTAAGTCATTGGATAACTGTTTACTTTTGTAGATGTTGTAGTTGTGTGAATACAAGTTGTTTAAAGGGTATTTTTCATATAGCTGCTAATTTTTGTGTAGAAAAATGAAGTGTGTCATACGTTCATACCTTGAAAATCTGGGCTCAAACATAGGCCTTCTAGTGACATGTTCCCACTATCTCACACTGTTTTGTTATACAAAACCTGGGAAAGTATACCCACATGTACACGTATCATGCAAAAACTGAATGCAAACTGAATGCTGTTAAAAGGTAAAAGAGTTAAAGTGCTTGCTGTACCTGGCTGCACAGAGAAATATATTCACTGGAGAATTTAGCCTTTAACTAAAGAATACGTGAATCAGTATAAAAACATTAATTGATCGATCAAAAACATTTTCTATCAAATAAGAAAGTGTACTTTTTTGGTTAAAATATATATCACATTCTTTAATGTTATATATATATGTATATGTATATATAAACCTTTTAAGGAATCTGTTTCTACTAGTAAACATGATGACATATGTTATGAATTGATAGTGGCTTTCTGCCAGCTGAATTACCACTTTTATGTACATTGGAGTTGCTTGTAATTGCATAGTAGCTATGGTTACCAGGTTAAGGAACTTATGGCTTGATGATGAGTAGAAATAAATTACCACAGTCTGATTTGGTTTAGAATTGTTTAAAATCAAAATGCTTCAGAAGAAGACCATGATGACCGAGAAGGCGCAAGTAATAAAAGTACAGAACAGTTGATTTGCTGACCTGGCACAGTTTGCTTTTTTCAAATCTTTGTTTGAGTGGAAACACAATGGTTCGTCTTAAAGTTGGAGTTTGTTTCTATGTAGTTTTGAGCTGTGATAGCAACTACACATTTTTAATGGGAATTTCTATTTTCAAAACGGTTGTGCTAAGGTTTTGAATTAATGTTGTTTTTTAATGTCTTAGAATTATCTGGTGGAAGTACTTTTCTTTTGGCAATTCCAGCACTTTGAGAGAAATGACAGACCTGGGAATTGAATCAGGAGGGGCAGGACTGCACCTAGGGAGAATTACGCATTTGCATTGATCTTGGTGGGCCCACTTCAAATGTTTCTAGTAGCTATACTGGCTGCAGACATCAAAAGTACTTCAGTCCTTTTTCAAGTAGTTGAAGTATTGAGTAGTTCAAGCCCTATTGACCTAAAGACCTAAATGTAAAGAACGAAAGACTTAACATTTTCAAAAGCTTTTGCTTGCTGATGGTTTAGAAACCTTAGTCATAATGAAGTGTAGTGGATTTTAGACCTTAAGCTACACAAGCTTTTTCAATATATTGCTCTCTTTCAATGATTACAAAACTATTTAGAGCTTTTTTGTTCTGTATATTTTTATAATGTAGAGTAAAATTCTATATTTATGCAGTCTTCTTTAGATATGGATGTGTTTAGACCTGTTCTTTTTGTATCAGGGAAGCTTTTCCATTAATCCCATTTAATACGCACTTTAGTTTTAAAGGCCAGGTGTAATAAGGCTAAAACTCTGTAAATATGGTTTCTCTAGTTTGAAAGTGCATTTTAAGAAACCGCTAGCGACAAAACCATACTCAGGAGGCTTGACTACCTTGTTTTCCAGAATAACCAACCATGACTACGGAATCAGGATCAGATTCGGAGTCCAAGGATAAGGAGCAGGATCAGCAGGAGGCCCCGGCGCAGCAGGGCCCGGCAGAGCCGCAGCCTCCAGAGCAGCAGCAGCAGCAGGCGGAGCAGC